TATGTGTCATCTCTCTTTATCTACGAAATACAGGATTATTCAATACAGACATTAACAAGCAAAGCTCCACTCCATATACCCATACATACAGTATATCTTTGTGACTCACGATCCATCAAAAATTAAGTTTTCTGAATTATGTTCTCAGCTTGCATGAATGTCAGATGAAAGACAAATCAACAGGGTATGAAAAATGTCATCTAGGAGAGTGCCGTTAGAGCTGGCTGTCTCTTATTCTGCGGGCTGATCTGCTCTGATTTTGAAGCGCTTGTCACCTGCTTGTTCAGTCAGTGTGCGTTTGCTGAAGTGAAGCTGAGAGTTGATGTCGTTTAAAGGATGAATGATGAATGTTTAATGTCGTACCCACACACAGAAACTGATTTTTCTCAATCCCCAAAGCAGTCCCGACTGAATTGCCTGTTAATTTTGAATTAAGGAAATCATCCAGAACTAGTTACATCCAGTACAAGTTACATATAATTATATCAATATAAGTGGAAAGTGCTTATTTACATGTAGTATCCAATACAACGATTTTATTTATTTTAGAGTATGCAAAGTAAACACAATGATGACACAAATAACTCTGAAAATGCGTTTTCAGGCTGTAATGTGATGGAGGGTTTTTCTTGGGATAAATACGATTAACAGAGATGGTTTTGTTGTTGCGCTCGAGCCAGAGTCTATAGAGATCAATTCCCGGTAGCAAGGGAGCTTCTACTGTCTTCCATTTAACATATTGCAGGCTTTTATATAAGCTTTATAGCTGACTAAACCTTGGACTGGAATTAGTCAAGATGTCAAGACGGGCCGGCCTCTTACTCTGGGGGGAAAACATCCTTTGATTTCATCATATTACCAGCTCTGTGCCAAAAACCCAGCCGTTTGGAGGCCTGCCAAGTGGAGTGTGGGAGTATTCTTCCAGCTGAGCCTTATCTAAAAACAACAGAAGAGATCCTGTGCTTGTAGTTTTACTTTTAATTATTTTTGTTTGCACTATACAGCACTGTTTGGATATGTCGAGGAATCCTTGTTTTAAAAGTATTCCGTTTTATACTTCTTCTCACAGATAAATATTGTAGATATAATTAGCTTCTAGCGGCTTTGCAGCTCTTAAATGTGTACAATGCAAAATATGCCTATAAACTACAATTACATAAATATTTAATCAGTTGTTCCCAACCTGTTTAGTGTCTGGTTGGAGTTGCAATGTTTTGATATATACAAGTAGTTAGCAGTTCCACCAAAAAGGATTTTCCCTCACAGTACGGATGTAAAATATTTCAAATAAGGGAGGAGGAGAACATAGTGGATTCGTACAAATGCGCAACTGAAGGAGAGTTTTGCAAGAACACTGAGATTATTTCATAAATCCACATTTTCCTTTAAAGAAACCAATCTTTTTTAGAGCTGTATGCCAGTGGAGCAGAGGGCTGATCTCAGGAGACAGTAAAAAAATATTGTTTAAAGTGCTCCACTATAAGAGGGACACTTGAGTCTGATGAGGAGAAGGTTTGAAGAAGGTTGGAGGCCAGGACTATTATAGAGAACAGTATATGCAGCCTCTCCACGCTGACGTCCTCCCTCAGGGATCATTTTACTGTTCCCTGGTGTTCCACTGAGCAGATGATGTGCTCTTTCATATGCAATTCATACCCTTAATAACACACGAGTTCACTTCCTGACATTTTGATGGCATTTTGTTGATGTTCTGTTCTGGTGATTTTTATTCTTTTTTTAACCCAGTGTTGTTTTTTTAATGACATTTCCCCCATTTAAAATGTTGTATGTGCAGTTCAGCCCTATTATTGTTTTTTCTCTCAAATGCTCTTACATCCAAGCACAGATGTTCAAACATGCGTAAAGAACATGTTGTGTTTCCCTGCTCCCTACAGATGTTCACACATGCATAGGAACAAGCTGTCTTTCACACCTCTCTGTCTCACATGCTCATATGTCGCTAATAATTACTGGAATACTGTCAACATAAATATAAAGGGATGTTATTGTATGCAGTTCCATTTGTTTCAAATCTACATTTTTTTCATTTGTTTCAAATCTACATTTGAAAGACAAATCAAATCAAATCAAGTATTATTTATATAGCACATTTATAAACGATTTTTAGTTGACCCAAAGTGATGTACTTATAATAAAAATAGCCTACAGTAGAGACACTTTACAGCTAATACAACAGCACAGATTGTTCAGAATATCAGTATGAGAAAAACGACACCCTCTATCCTTAGACCCTCACATCGTACAAGGAAACTCTTCCGGAGAAAAACCCACAGTTTAAAGGGGAAAAAATGGGAGAAACCTCAGAGAGACAGATCTGATGTTGTATCTGATGTAAAGGCTTTACAGTTTGTAAATTGTATTTTGGCAATAATCAGATGTTGTTGATATTGATTTTCAGGCAGGTCAGACGTCAGACTGATGCTGAAGCTTCTTGGTTTACTGGCCTTATTAAAATGATAATGCAGCAACGTTCACTTTTGAACTTAAGTGGATTCAATTTGGTAAAAATGTGTTGTATACTAACAATTCGTTTTTTTTGGGGAAGCAGGTCAGTTATGAACTGAAGGATTACATGCAGCATCCAAACAGACAGCACATCCTAAAGCTGTAGATCATTTCAACATGTGGCTATTTACATTCATATTCTCAGTTTTTCCAATGTCTTTGTGAACTGTCTAAACGGTACGGTAATGCATGCTAATGAATCAAGTCTGGGCCACGTGGTAAGCAATTCATTTCAATAGTTCCCATGTCAGATAAACCAATTGGTTTCAGGAATATGATGAATAATAATGAAACTTAATGGTCTGAATGGTAATGAGGATTTCATGGTAAAGCGCAAAAGCAAAACCTTCGGCTGAAAATACATTTTTAAAGCAGGAATTTGAGTCAACTAATAATATAATAATAATACAATATTGCAGAGAAATTGGATTCTGGACCACAGAGATTTCAAAATAGGATAACAATGATCTGATTTCTAGTATGTCAGCATTTTGTTGTATTTATTTAGCAAAACACTGGCAATCCCCAGTCAACTATATTATAAGCTTTCCTGATTATACATAATAAACATGCTGCTTTCATGCCGTGAACCAAATTAATTGCTTTTAGTCAGCCCCACCAGGACCTGTTCTCGGCTGAAGTTCCTACGTTTTGCACAACGCTCTGCACCTCAGGGCATATGACAGCTTGTTCAGTATCTGTTTGCAATGAAAAAAAGGATGCCCTAACGAAAGGACAATGAACATCTGGCTGTTGCCACATCTACTTAGACTCTTCACTGTTTGACCATTCTCGGACCATTTTGATCAAGAATACTATTATTAAAGAGCATTTTTAATGGAATAATGAAAATGTGCTTTTGGGAATGACATACGCTATTGCCAGACCCCAGTAAAGAGTTCAACAAAAACTAACAACATTGGCTCAGTTTATCACATTAAGCAGAACCGAAATAACAGGATCTTTTTGTTTGCTTTGGCATACCAGTGGTGTTGCAATACAAATAATTAGAAATGTTTCTAACCACAGTGCTGTCTGAGGCCTGAGGCATCTGGAAACACATATTCTATTTGGAAACATATAGATGTCTGAATATGTGTTTTACTCCAACAAGTATCTCAACATAAATGTAAAAAAACACAAGAGAAAATAACAAAAGCACAGGACTGAAAAACATTGCAGAGGTGTTTTATCTTGATCTAACTGCGTCATAGTGCCCTCACAATCACACACATACACAAAGCCTTGATAAGTGCATGCATCATTTTTTATATTAACATTGAAAAACAAGGAAAAAGACAGATAACAACAAACAAAGGACGTAAGAGCTGATTATTCAGCCTGATGCCTCAGCTATGAACTGGCTGAAGTATGACATCTGAGTAATACATATTTTTCCCTTCCTACTTTTCGGTCATTTTTATGTGCAATATGAGTGTCAATTCATGATTTAGGGCATCCCTCAAGACAGCCTAGTTCTACTTTATCACAAAGGAGCAAAATAAGTGTAATAAGAAAGATATAGGGAGGAACAAGACCACCAATTGCAGTGTCTGTAGCTCAAGGAACAGAAAGACAGATGAAATAAAACTGCGTCACTGCAAACGTGTAGCATTTTAAAGGACTACACTTGAAATATTAGGACGAACAAAAGTGGTTTTTTTCACAATATTTTACAGCTAGTGTTAACCCAATGATGACTGAGACACTTCTTTACACACAGGCACACATTTAGTTTTCTTTTTACAAAATTAAGAGTGGTTTGTTACATTTCTCAAGAATCAGTTGTCTATGACAGCATAAAGGTGCTGCTATTTACCGAAGAAATATGAAAAACCTTGTTATCTCTTTTAAGCTGCTCTGAGAAGCACCATCAAAAATGCAATTACACCGAATAATCCACTCTAACAATTATGTCCTACAATTAGATAATTAGCATTAATTACTAAGAGTCTATTCATCTCAAACTATTTTTGCAGATCAATGTGTTTTTTATTATTCTGACTGTACCCCCTCTCCAGAGTATGTTTAGGGGTGTAAACAGACAGTGCCTTTAAGGTAGAAATGGATTCAGTTAGCTAGGAAGCTGTGCTAACATGGCTGTATCAACAGAGCTCTGTTGTTTACGTTGTGGCAAACTGGCGGCATTAAAAGTTAGTCGAATAACTAATAGTAGTTACAGTCTGAAACAGATCTATGGATGTACACAACGATCACTGAATTACTTTGAGACTGAAGAAAACTTAAAAACGTGATGATTCTCAAACAAGTTCTGGAGTTAGCGCTAAGGAACGTCTTTTTCTATGATTTGTGGACGTTTTTTCGCGATGGACTTCGGAGCAAAGGATCCCCTCGGAAGATGATACTCAATCTCATAATAGGTTTATCATGTCTGTGTGTTCCGATTGAACTAAGTGCATCTTTAAGAAAAAAATTAACCTGTATCCTAAATCAATATCAATCAGATTATTTACCTTGATCTTCGATGTCCAGATTCTTGATCATCCACTGTACAATTTCAGAACCTGAAACCAGAGAAAACACATGCATATGAATCACTGATATCTAATATATTCACAGTGTGCTGAACAACCACTTTTCCATATAGATGCAAATGGAGGGGAAACAATGACACTTTTAACCCTATCCACCTCCCTTCATAATCACAGTGCATACCAATTCCTCTCGCCTTGCACCATGTGGGTGGTTAATAGACCATCCATTATAAAATGTCTTTCTGACACCCTCTCCAAGCCAGCTCTGTTTGGCTGTGATCCATAAAGACCAGAGGAGCGCAGTGACATAATGAAGGATCCATTGTGTACAGTAACAACACAGTTTGTCAGTCACAGCCCAGACTTTGCATGTCTTCAATTTAATAAGTCAAAGCATCAGATCACTCAATCACTTACAAATACATGTTTCATTTTTCAAAACAGATGATGAAATTGTCATATCTAAATAGATGACTTCTATTTCCCCTTTGTCTGAACATCACATTTGTGTATGCTGGATATCATTGTGAAATTCATCTTCTCTTTCAGAGAAAGTAACTGAATCATTTTCACTTCTCAGAAAAACACAATAGTGTCCCTCTGCCCCCTGGGCATTTTCACACCCCGCCACAACATGTGACTTTGTCACTTTGGCTAAATATATATTTTCCAAGCTATTATTACTGTGTGTCATGCTGACAGGTGAAGGTATGTTAAGGAGACGAGAGCCACAGAAAGCAGAAAAAAGGTGTGAAATGGTGACATGAGGGAATTCATGCAGTGAGACAGTCAGTCCCTGTGGCTGTCTCTCTGTCGATCAAGCTGTCTCTCAGTGTGTCCATCTTTACTGCACCCCCTTGTTTTTCGAAGACACCATAACTAAATGAGATTTTCCATGGATTAAGATCATTAATACAACCCCATTTTAACACTATCAACATTGACCCACTTTCGAAGACAGAGCTTAAATGAGATGTGTAGGGTAATCCTCTAACAAGGCTGTTCTCGGAATTGATTAATATCATGACCAAGATTGGACTGTGTGTGTGTGTGTGTGTGTGTGTGTGTGTGTGTGTGTGTGTGTGTGTGTGTGTGGGTGTGTGTGTGTGTGTGTGTGTGTATTGGTGTGCATTGAGGTGCAGGCCTGTATGTGCAATATTGTAAAGAGATATAAAGAGATTGCTAAACTATAACATCAAAAATGAATGATCCCAATGATGGTGAATATTGCTGCAGAAAAACACAAACACAGCAGAGGGCAACAGCTGAACATTACTACTTTCTAAAACCACATCATTTGATTATGAGACCTATGTAGAGACACTTTAGCACTACAGTCAGATGAAAGCAATTGCTGTAATTTTAACAAGTGAAAAATCAATGTATTTTATTCAAAAAGTGGGGCTGCGAAATGTGTTGTAGAGAAAAAACACAGTGCTCCAGTAATCACGAATGAAGTGGCAGTGTTTTCGAGAGGGGAAGCTACAGAGGGAATGTGTCTTTGTCACAACCTTAGAAACTGCCAGGGCACGAATGTTTTGGGAGTTAGTACAACATTCAAAAATGTTGAGTAACGCTTATATTAAAAACTAAACTTAATATTACTTGACATTTTACCACTGGATCTTGCAGAAATATAAATGTATCTTCTAATAAGAAAAGGGTCACATTCCTGTTTTATGAGAATAGCTGGTCCACCTTTAATGTCAGCCCACTTTAATTGAACCTGGAGCGTTGTTTTTGCTAACCTTTGGGCTCATCCCTTTGACATTTATCAGGAAGTGACTAGCAAGGCACAGGAGCTTGGAACCTGAAGATATGTAGGTGTGTTTTACCAACAGCATACACAGTTTACCCTATTTGCTAACAGTGTAATGTATCTTTATTTGATATTTCATTGATGATATTGGATCATGGATTGCTACATAAATTAATTTAGAATGTATATTGTTCGTGCTCTACTCATCTCCCCTCTCACCTTTGTCAAGTGCTGTGGGCGCACCTAGCAAACTGAAATCTCACAGGAACAAATGTCCTGGAGACATGTTGCCCTGTGGGGAATTAAAGATTGGGAACTGAAGATCAGAATCAGAAATACATTTTTGATACCCAGGTGGACATTTTATATTATTTATGACTCTAAAGTATTTATTCAGCAATCGGAGAAAAATGTAATCTGACAGAACAGCGGTAGATCTGTGTGGCTTGGTAAAATAATAAAAAAATACAGCCTCACAGTGTTTTAAACCTACGGAGCCCTGGAGGGTTCATAGAGAGAAAAATAAATAAAACTAGGCCACGTTTTATTAATTAGTGCGCATAAGATGTAATTAGTGGCCTCAATTTAAATAAAACGAGGCCACGCTTTATTAATTTGTGCGTACGATATACTTTCTCGTTCGCACAAGATACTTTTCGTGCGCACGAGATACTTTCTCGTTCGCACGAGAAAGTTACCGGTGTGCCAAGTAGGAAGTGGAGCGAACAGGAGACAACCGTTTCATTGCAGACTGTTATGTTTATGTGGGGAAATGACAGTGCATACATTATTTGAGATATATTTCAAAACTTCATTTTAGGGATATTTCGGCCAGAGGTGTAAAGCTATTTGTTTAAGCACCGGGTTCGCAAAACACGAGAGTCTGTGAACCAGTCTGCCTTGATCTATGAATTCATGTCCGTGACTCTCACAGTATCTGCTATCTGCGCGCAGAGAGCTGTGTCTTTTACGCAGCGCCTTCTCTGTGTTTACCTTCAGAACAGCTGAATAGAGATCGAGGCTGCTACGTTTTAGCCACACACACCTCTACACGCATCAAACTGCCCGATTATTCCCCCTATTACTCATTTTATGAAGGAGATGTCCGGTCATCAGGGCGCATGATGTGTAAATAACCCAATTTGTGTTCTGTGAAACTGAAAAGGATATGACATTGTTTTTTTTACTTTCGTTGCAGTTGTATATGTCTTAAATGTAATTTAGGTTAAGTTCCTGTTTTATTTAGATGCTTTTATTTTTAAGGCGAGTTTACGCTGTTGACAGGAAGTTGTTGTTGCTATGGAAACGTGAACATGCTTCATGGATGTTTTAGTGTGTGTCGGTGTATGTGTGTGTCCGACACCGGCAAATTACCATGAATAGTAATTTACACACATCCGGCTAACTCCATTTGTGTATTCCCAAGTGAAAGAAGTTCGTTTAATCTTAATCTCGATGTAGGCTAGTGCTAAATGCTGTCGGACTGCACCGGAAAGAATGCCACTATCATAATATCTTCTGAAAACAAATGCCCACACACACACACACACACACACACACACACACACACACACACACACACACACACACACACACACACACACACACACACACACACACACACACACACACACACACACACACACACACACACACACACACACACACACACACACACACACACACACACGCACACACACACACACACACACAAACACACACACATACACACATGCCCTGGCGACCGGACATCTTCTTCATAAAACTAATATTATGGCGTAATAATCGGGCAGTTCGATGCGTCTAACCATAAGAAAGTATCTTGTGCAAACGAGAAAGTATATCGTGCACACAAATTAATAAAACGTGGCCTCGTTTTATTTATTTTTCTCTCTATGAACCCTCCAGGGCCAACACAAACACTGTGTGGTAGACTTGGAATAAAAAAGGAAACAACAACAAAAAAAGAGCTGTGCATCAGCTGTGCATCAGCTGCTCTTTTTATGCCCTAAGCATTGGTCATTGTTTCACTAACGTCACTAAAGCTAAAGTTAGCTTTGTAATTTTAACTGTGTATGCCTTTGTAGTTTGGTTCTTACTTTTACACCATTTTCAAGGTCAAGCACTTAAGAATTAGATTTTTGAACTCTCTTAATGCGTCAATAGAATTTTACAAATCATTAATCATAGAATACAATTATGATACTGTTGCATTGCATTGTATAGCTTTTTCTTGGCTTACTGTATATACCATTTGTATTTAATACTGCAGGATAATACTGTAGGTTTATATTGTGGTGAATAATGCTTTACAGCTATGATGGCCTCACTCCTCTTACATTTTGAATGTAGTGTTTATCTTTTGGAGCATCACTCCAGCATGGATTTTTCTTAGGTTGAACTGCTACAAAATCCGAATCAAATATGATCCTCTTGACATTCTGGCACTGCTGGTGTGAAATGCAAAAACGACAACTCTTTAAATACTTTTAGTGTTCTGTTCGGCCGGAACAAAGTACAAGTGAAGTACTTAGTGGGCGAGAGGCAAGTTAAGAAGAGTTAGAGGAGAAGAAAAAACAGAGCAGAAGCCTTACCTGAAAAAACACTGGGGATCTTCGTTAAAAAACTTTTCACTGTTCGGATCGGGATGCCATTTTTGTCATCCTGCATGTGTGCTATTACTTCTTCCATCTGGAAAACAGAGGGACAACGGGGGGAGATGAAGAGGAGGAAAAGAAAAGGCAGTTTTTATTAACTTGCATCAATAAGTTGAGGTTGTGTGTGAGCTAGACAGAGAAACGTACACAGATACAAACAGGTTCCTCTGTGGTTCACATCTCCAGAGAGGGAGACGAGGAAGTTAGTGCCTATCAATCACTGCCGTTAGGTTTGTGCCCCTCCTTTCACCAATTTCTCTGATTTGTGTCATTTGTCACATAAAACCTCCAGTGAGCTGCACTTATTGAATTCTGCAACAGCTATTGCATTTTTGAAGTATAGCAGTGAAGTTTCTTGTCACAATGAATCCATCACATCATATTTGTGTCCCCACCAGCTACACTTATAAACATTGCAGGGCAAAGAAGAAAAAATCATAATGTGACTTAGAATACATTTCAGACAAAAATGTTTTGGTTCAGCATTGGCCAGGTTATATATTTGATCCAAAAGCTGTGCAGTGAAATTAAAAGCTTGGTCCAATACACACACACATATATATAATCATGCCAACATTCACACACGCCACTGAGACAGAATAAACTGGGAGTTGTCTCAGGGGCCTGGCAGAGCAACACAAGGCTGCTTCGTTTCCAAGAACACAGAAGGGAGCAAAGCAGAGAGTAGAGCATGGCCCCGATATGTCAGTAGGATCGGAGGCCAAGAGATCTCCCCAAACTCCACCCTCAGTGTAAAAATATACACATGGAAAATATGTACAGAGTTCAGTGGCCTGGCAACACACTACACAAACAGGCACATATGAACAAACATGCACAACATGTTGGTTCATTTCCCTCCACCTGTAACGATTTTCTTTATTTCTGAAAAAGGTATTCATTGGGATTAGTCCTTTTCAGTTTTTCAGGTTGCAGCCCCCTCAGCCAACCCATCTGCGAGGCTCCACTAGCACCCATACCCCCAAATGCGGCGCACCTACAGTGTAGGCGCACCACAGTTTCGCCGCTGCGAAGCTTCACTAGACTTTGATGTCTTTTATACATACATGTGTCCCCGGTGTGTCAGGGAACTCACGCAGCGCCAGAAAATAAAACCCTCTCTCTTTTCCTCCGTACCCAAATCTCTAAAAACAGGGGTACAACGGAGCTGATCCAGATTTGCGTCCGATATGACGTAATATCGGAAATGTAGGCTGGCTTTACACCCACGGCTCTATCAGAAAGTTGCTATCAGAAACAATGCCCGACTGTTTTGGACGTAATATGGTCGGTGCATGTTTACATTAGCATCGCTAACACTCAGAGCTAACCTCTACTGGATAGAGCATGTGTGTGAAGAAGCAGGAAATAAAAATGAACTCACCTTGTGGTATAACCGGCAAGAGAGAAAGCCTTTGAGCTCCATACTGTTTCAGAAATAATCCTTGATAATCCATGATATGGCGTTTCATCACGGCAGTATTTAGTTTAGACAGTAGCTGCCGGGTCCCGCATGAGTTCAGCCCCCTCCTTTTTAATTTTGTATCAATTTTTTATTTTTTAAAGCGTTATACCCAAAATCAGCACTTTTGAAACAGGAAGTGAAATAGAGGGACATGAGGCATGGCTAGAATGGGTGATCTGTTTGGTATTTTGAGCAAAACACTTCATAGACATTTTTTTTTATATTTCTTTTATATACCTAAGACCTATGCTATTGCCTAAAAATAGCATGATAGGTGACCTTTAAAACATCACAGTGCAGACAAATAAAAGATGGAAATGTATTTTCTGACAGTACAGTGATTTTTGTCTAACAATGATCTAAAAAGAAGCACAGATTGCTTGGAGATTAATGAATATAAATATAAATTAACACTGACTATTCATTGTATTACATTGACTTTATTCTTTAAACCCAAAGTAAAACAACAGGGAACCCAAGATAGAGCCATGGTGAACACCAAATAATTTCAAGATAACACAAGAGTAGTGTGTGCAATCTACCTCTTGGATGAATAAAGTACCCTGAAGTGTTATTTTGTAACAGGTTTGACTTCATAGATCATCCTCTTCAATGATTTTGTGCTCTCCATCTTTGAATGAGACAAAACCATAGATATGAAAATCTGTGACTGCTTGGGTACTGTTGCATTGTGTTATAATGAAAGCTTTATAGCTAGTCAAATACCCTGGAGCTGAAAATCATCCCAGTTAGGGATTGGAACCTATTTGACAATGATGGAGCACAGTCAGATGCTGTAACTAAATAGCTGCTGGAGGACAATTGGAGGCCCGGCAGGAATGATAGAGTGAGAAATCTAAATGTAAAAAAAAAAGATAAAAAATACACATTTTCAGATTCCAGTCTGTTCTGTTAATCTCTTTCACCCACAAATGTACTGCATGAGGCATGTCAGTAGATCTGGCTCTACAAGATTCCTTGGAGGTTCACTAATGTGAATTGGGTGGGCGCTTATGGCACAATAATATTAGAGCTCTGAAATCAACTTTAATTCCTCACACAAGTGGAAAAATCAATCCTAACAGCTTCTGGCTGTCCACCTTCAATTTTTGCTTCCATTTTGTTGTTTATTGGTGGATTTTTCATATTCCCACACATTACTGATTTCCTGATTGTTCCCTACTTTGACAAATGTCTTCACTACCAGGAATCTTAGTGGAGCACAATGCACCACAAGCACAAAGATAGGCTTCAGTTTTAAGAAGGGGCACCAGAACAATTATATGATATGTTAAGGGTCATCGTTTCTTAATTATGAAGACAGAGACAGAATTAATGGGAGAAAATAAAAAAAGGGACAATCTCGAGAGACTGAAAATATTTAATCACAATACAATGGAAGCTGTTAATGTTTAACAGTTCCAGTATTCGAGAGTGAGATTATTCATTGGTGATTCTCAACCAAAACGTGTCAAAGTTAGAGGAGAAAATGGGATTCTAAAAATAAACATGTTTTTAATTAAGGAAGAAAGTCTTGCTAAAATCCAGCCAAAAACACCAACATACATTTGGCCATGCAAAGGTGTAGCTTCTCAAACTGCTGCACAGAAAAACAAAATTAAAAGTATTTATGTAGCCTCCTTTTATGTGCTGCATGCATAATTCGTTTTTGTTTTTCTGCTTTCTAAATATATCCCTCTAAATGAATCCCCCGTTTAATAAGTGCGCCTTATAATGTCAACCCTTCTCCGAGAGTTAGCTGGCACTGTGGACACAGAGCAAACAAGGACAACAGCACCAATGATCAATACCTCACACACTCACTCCTATCTCTGCAAACCCTCACCGCCTACACATGGTAAAATGCCACCAGCGTGAATATTCAGGATCTAAAGCTCTTGAAGTCGGAAGGCTCTCTGCCTCATGTTGTGAAGAAGAGAGGAAAGTCGTTTCCCTCTAGAGAGAGGGAGCGAGTACGTCTCTCATTCTCTTTCTCTCGTTCTCTTTCTCTCCGTCCCCCACCCTTCCTCCCACCCACCCAGAGCTGCCTGACTGCTTCTCTGCAGCCTCTTAACAGATAAGAGTGAGTGTTTTGGCTGCATAGTGTGAATCATTGAATAATGATGGCACAGGACTCGGTGTATATAAAGTGACTAACAAAAGCTCCGGATATAAGCGCATACTGAGCTCCGACACAGCTCTGAGCACTTCAAAGACTATCACGGAGGGCACTCAGGGTGCAATCAGAATGTTCTGATAATCGTTTGGAGCAAAAAACATTTCAAACTGGGTTCGTAAATCAATGCTGGCCAGTTAGATTTCTTTTTAGCCGTTGTTAAGTGCACCATAAGTCCCTTATTTGATGGTGTGTTTCTAAAAAGGATCAGGTTCTATCTTTAGCACATCAGGGAAGGTGGAGGTTTTAGGAGTAAATGTCAGGAACTTCACTGTGTGTCATCAGATAGCTCATTTGGAAGTGACCTTTATCAATTACCTGCACAAGAAAAAACGAGGCTGGAAATGAAGTTGTTTTTCTCCTTTGCTAATGGTAGCATGTAAACAGGATTTGTTTTCTCACAAAAGTATGCACACAATTGAGAGCACAATTAACACGATTTTGTCTTGATGTTTCTGAGAACAGTGTTTGAGAGCTATAATTTTCTTAGGGTTCAATAACTGTGGTGTGTGTAACAGTTGAGTGTCAAAAGTCTCCTTTGTGTGAGGTCAGGTCAATCAATCAATGTTTATTTATAAAGCCCAATATCACAAATATTGCATTTGTCTCAGTGGACTTCACAGTTTGTACAGAATATCAGTATGGCAATACGACACCCTCTGTCCTTAGACCCTCACATCGTACAAGGAAAAACTTCTGGAGAAAACCCACAGTTTAAAGGGGAAAATGGGAGAAACCTCAGGGATAGACTGCTTGAAGATACATGCTGCAAACTATGATGATCTGGACCTTTGAAGTGTGAGTTAAGGCATAGTAGTAGTAGAGCAACCCTGTGTTGATTGTGCTGCACAACCCACATGTTGCATTCAATCGTTTCCTTCCTTAACAAATTATGCTATCCGTCTCTAGTGTGACCTAGATTAAGGAGACAGAGAAAAAAAAACGAAGTACTCGGGGAGCTCAAACATGTTTTTTCAAACAGCTTTAATTAGATCATCATTACCTACATACACTTGAAATCCCTTAAGACAGATGATTTATTAGGGACCGATCGACCAATCAGGATACATTTTTAATGAAGGAAAACATGACATGATGCCCACTAAGGAAATGAAACTTGGAAGCATGCACCTGTTTAGGTTACATGCTGTAAAGTCTGACATCTCTATTAGTTTTAATTTTTTATTTAATTGTTAACTCATATAGAGGTAATTTCAGTTGCTGCCTATGCAAATGTGAACTTCTCGAACTCAGCCGCTAAGAAAATTAAAAGCTGCTTCTTCTTCTTCCTCACTGCCTCCTGTCTGGGCTGTAATCCGTGAATGTTATGGGGGGTATTACCTTTAGAGTGTTATCTGAGGACAATCGTGTCTACTTGTTCGAAAAAATACAT